ATAGTCTTCTTGGCCTAGTGTCGACATTTGACTTTTACAAAAATGACACCCAGCTCTGATGATGTCCATCGAATGATGGACGAAAGCTTAGCACTTTTTCACCCGAAACGAGGGAGGAAGTCCCGTGGACTGCGTCAACATGAATAAAACATAAAAGCAAAACGGCTGCAGTACAACGAGTTTCATCCGTCCTCATCTGGTGGGATCGACCAACGAATCTCTTCTTCATGCACTTTCATACGAAATAAAGGTCCCTCTAACAATATCATTATTTCGTAAATAGTAACTTATTTTTCGAATCAAGTATCGTTTTCGTGACTACCAGTAAATCAGTAGTATGACATGTATTCACCCAATTTGGTTTAAGGTGATGAAGGACTGGTAGAAGAAAAATTTTCCCACAATCATATGAGTTGAGCTGACCTTTCCATTCAATTTCACATAGCCTTGCTTTCCAAAAAGTTGTTCCCATTCAGGGTGAACTGCAGTTTCTACTACCAGTACTTGATCACCTTAAACGAAATTAGGTAAATAGATCTCATACTACTGATTTACTGTTAGTCATGAAAACAATAATTAATTAGAATAATAAAATATAGTAAACGTTTGCTTCATTGACAATTCCACCAAAAGGATATGATATGACAAAAAGGCCTGGCCTTCCTTGACAATTCACATTTGCCCTGTGACCCAAAAGGCGCTCGTGGCAGTGTGGCCGAATGGTTAGCGTGTCAAACTACCGTCCTGCACTGTCGCGGTTCGACTCCCGCGGAGGGTGTTGATAAGACTAATGCGAGGTCGAAACTTCAATCCCCTTCTGTCTGGATGAGAACAACTTTTGGGAAAGCAAGACTATGTGAAATTGGATAGAAACGCCAGCTCAACTTATATTAATGTGGGAAAATTCTTCTTCTACCAGTCCTTCATCACCTTAAACGAAATTGGGTAAATACAACTCATATTAATCGAGTAAAAGATTAGTGTGTGATCTAAAGGTTTGTATCTCAAGGTTTAGGTCTAGATTGTTGCAACTTGAGGAATCGAGGAAAAGATTTGCGTATAAATTTTAATATCTCGGGGGTATGATCTAAAGGTTTGTATCAAGAGGTTTAGGTCTAGTTTGTCGGAACAGATTTGGCTCTTCAAGTTGCAGGCTCAAGCTTTTCGCTTGAGTGTCTCGACCGGTCTCGGGTCTCGAACGTACAGATTCGAGAATGGTCCGCTTAGACTTGCCTCGGGATGGCAGCCTCGAGTGTTGGCTCGTCCGGCCTGCGGCATACAATCGGCCGGACAGACGTTGACGCACATCTCGCCCCAAGTTCCCTCGGGACAGGCCAATTGGCACTTGGAGCCGTAGCTCCCGGGCGCACAGACGCACCGACCCGTGGCCTGTGCGCACCGACCCGTGGCGCAAGTTGACGGACATTGCTGGTCGCAGCGCCCCTTGCCTCCCCATCGGCCCGCCGGACAGCCGGTCTCTTGGCAACGCGGCCCATGACGACCGGCCGGACAGACACAGACGCCGGTAATGGGATCGCAGGGCAGGCCGAGGGCGCATCTGCAGAGCTCGTGGCATCCTGCGCCCCAGAAGCCCTGTTGGACGAGGTGGTACAGGAGCGAGTTGAGGGTGGAGTGTGGTTGGGAGAGGAAGGAAGGTTGGCGGAGAAAAGGAGAGAGGAGGGAGAGACGGGTGAGAGAACATGTGAGTCAGAGATGGGCAAGATGGCGGCTGCTGTCGTTGGAAGAAGCAGTCGAGAAGGCAATCACAGAACAGCAATCGAGTCAAAGAAGCACGAGTCTGCAGATGCTGATCGACAATCTGTGACGACTGAGAAAATGCGACAGACAAGGCAGAACTAAATTGCGTTAGGCATTAATTTTAATCCATTTGAACGACAATTTGATCCCACTTTGATCTCATTTTAATCCCACTTTATATCACTTTAGTATACCTTTGATTCCCCTTTGATATATTTTTGATCCCATTTTGATCGCACCTTAATTTGACTTTGATCAAACTTTAATCTCATTTTGATCCTACTTTGATCCCACTTTGATCCCACT